CAGAGTTCAGGCCCACGACCGGACCCCCCCCCCAAAAAAAGAATTGTCCTCATCAAAAGATAATAATCAAATAAGAAACATGAAAAAAGTATATAAAATACATACACATTGCAGACACACAGGTAAAGGAAGAAAAAAACTATATAAAGACTACACAGAAGGAATATTACACATACACACACACACACACACACACACATTAGATGAAGACCATGATAATATGTATTCCCATGGATTCAAAAAAAAAATCTTTATGAACTAAAGGCCTTTGTGCTCAAATCAGAGCAATGATGGCTTAAATGAAAAAAGATAAAACCAAGACATAAATGACAGGAAAAAAAAAAAGATGCTGCTGAAGGCATAATCAGAGAATATGGAAATAGATGAAACAACCTATTTTATTAAATAATAAAATGACAAACACAAGAGCTATTTAAACAAAAGAGATCTGTATCTGCACTTAGTAGCCTGAGATTTTTAAAAACAACTAAAATAGAACAAAATTATTAAAATACGTAATTCAAGTAAACTTTTTAATAACAAAGGCTCTAAAACTACCAGTGGGAAAAGCAAAGCATGTCCCGAGAAATGCTAAAGAAGATCATTCAATGCATAGCAAAATTATTAAATTTTAGGAAGAATTTTATGGAAATTTAGGAGGAAAAGAATAAAATAAAAATCAAGGAAAATGAAAATCTAATCAAGGGCTAGGGATGTAACTCAGCAGTAGAGAGCTTGCCTAGCATGTACAAGGTCTTAGGATCAATCCATCACAACAACAATTAAAATTAAATAAGTAAACAATTAAATGCAAGTAACTCATAAGAGAAAACTATCAGGCTTATTTCATATTCTCCTAAATAATAATTTAACATGAAGCATATACATTTTGAAGAATGAATGTATTTCCCAATAATTCTATGTTCAAGAAGATGAACATTCAAATGTCTTCAAACATCCAGTAACTTTTGACTACATGATTCTAATATTTTGTGTCGTGACTAATTGGCTACCAACGAATCAAAAGATAAATAAAGATAGTATAGTGTGAGCTAAGCGTACCTGCTGATACTATTTAAAGGTAAAAAAAAATTACTGTGGTAATTATGGTTACATAGGACCAAAATGTTACCTATCATACTAGAATAGAGTAAGTATAAAGAGTTAAAATAATGTAAACAAATCATCTGTGGTATAAAAGTAAATTTTCTCATCCTTATAGACTCAACAGTTTCCTTAAAATAAATAAAAAATAGAAGCATACAGATATGATTTAAAGTCTGGCCACTAAAATTCCTATTATCAAACAAAATTAGTTTGTAGGGGAGGAGAAATATGAGATGGCCAGGACTAGCAAATACACATAAATTCCTTATCACGTATACTGGGAAATACTGTTTGAACTCTGAATTTTCATGTAATGTATATGGAGTCAAAATATTTTAAAGTTGTTCACGATTCATTATATCCTGCTATATTTATAAATGAAATTGAAATGACAATAGGCAAAATATAAGGACTAATAGCTGATAAGATAGTTTAGCTAATATGCTAACTCAGTATAATATCCTTAAAAGTACTTCCTGGGTTCAAATTCTACTTCAGTCATTAAGTAAATAAAGTTCCAAGAAAATCATGAATTAATTCAATTTTCTTCTAAACATGTTTCAATTATTATTTACCAAAGATGCAATGACACTTCAATACACTATACAGATACTATTCTCAAAAGAAAAATCCTATCCATTCACTGATTTAAAAAAAAACACAATACAGATGGCCCAACTTCACTAATTATTAGAAATAAGAAATGGGACCACATGAGGTATTATTTCACGCCCACTAGGTTAGCTATTACATATTTTATTTTACTTTTTGTGCCATTCTTGGGTTGAACTCAGGACCTGGGCACTATCTCTGAGTATTTTTTGCTCAAGTCTAGCACTATACCACTTGAGCCACAGCTCCACTTCTGGCTTTTTTGTGGTTAATTATAGATAAGAGTCACAAACTTTCCTGCCTGTGCTGGCTTTGAACCATGATCCTAAGATCTCAGTCTCTCAAGTAGCTAGAATTACAGACATGAGTCACCAATGCTTGACATATTATATATTTTTTAACATGAAAGTGTGAGGATATATTACTAATGAAACTTCTAATGCATCACTGATGAGAACATAAAATGCTACAGACATTGTGCAAAATGGTACAGGTATGTCTCAATGATAGCTGTATACTGTATACTCATTCTCATAACCGCATTATTCACAATAGTCAAAAACTAAAAAAAAAATCCCAGTTTAATCAATGAAGAAAGAAACATTTGAACTGCCTATATATATTATTCAGACTTCAAAAGTTGGCAATTACAATATATTGTACAACATGAATTACTCCTCTTGAAGGTATTGTGATTACTGAATTAAGCTAGTCAAAAAATGGACAATGTAAGATTTAACATATGAATTCACAAAAGCAGAGAGTAGAATGTGCCAAAGGCTGTTTAATGGTAACAAAATTTCAGTTTGAGAAAATGCAAATGTTATGGAGATTAATAATGGTGACAACAAAACAATGTGAATGTGCTAATGTCACAGAATGGTACACTTGGAATGACATAAATAATAAATTTTGGTATGTATATTGTACCACAACCAAAAAAACTACACAGTATTAGATTGCTGCAATCAAGAATTTTGTAATATTGTACTCTACAAAAATTTTACTAGACAAAAACTTTCTTTAAATCAGAATTCTTATATTCTCCTGAAAAGATTATTTGCAACATAAAACTTATGCACAGAAATATAGCTGACAATATGCCATAATTTGTATTAACATTGATGTTGAGTTGATGATTGTTCTCATTTAAGAGTGAAATCTGTATTTTACTTTAAATTGCCTTGTTTCAAATTTCTACTTTGGTTAACATAGTAAGCTACTTACACTATTTTTTATTTCATAAATAAACTAAAAATATCAATTTGTCCTCAAATAACATGTCCTTTATTTGAGGACTTCATATTTTTGTTTTTTAAAAATAATCTAGTTGGGCACTGTTTGCTCACATTTGTAACCTAGCTACTCAGGATGCTGAGATCTGAGGATCACAGTTCAAAGCAAGCCCAGGAAGGAAAGTCTGTAAGATTCTTACCTCCAACTAATCACCAAAAAAGGCAGAAGTGTAATTATAGCCCAAGTGATAGAGCAGAAATCCAAGATAACAACCAGAGAAATTCTTTACTACATAATACTTATTAACTAAATTTTTTTTGCACATCCTAAATAAATGATAGTGTTAATACATTGGGCTGGAAGTGTGGCTCAAGTGGTAAAATGCTTGATTAGAAACCATGAAACCCAGAGTTCAAACCCTAGTACTACCAGTTAAGATGTTAATATATTTGAAGGGCTAACATGCTCCTCACTCAACAGATTAAATCCTATTGTACTTTTCTTTTAGTGTAAGTACTTCATCACTTATCTATTTTATATGCATGTATAGTTTTTATTATAGGTGTCACCCAAATAAAGATATGTTGAGTTTCTACCCTCCAGTATTCAGATTGTGGTTTTATTTTCAAAATATAGTCATTGCAAATGTGACTGAGATGAGGTTTACGCTGTAGTAAGATGGGCCTCTGTCATCCAGTATGATTGCTAATCTTAAAAAAAAAAAACCACATGAAGACAGAAACACAGAGGGACAATGTTACAATGAAGGTAGATTTGAGTTGTGAAGCTGTAGGCCATAACTAACATTTCATCAGGAAGAAAGAGAAAAGTACTATTACATGATGCTACCATTTAATAAGCCTTGAAAATATCAGACTAAACAAAGGAAGTCAAATAAAAAGGTTACATATTTTGGGGTGTGTGTGGTGTGTGTGTGTGTGTGTGTGTGTGTGTGTGTGTGTGTGTACTAGGTCTTGAAGTCAGGGCCTTATCCATTCACTTGCTTTTTTCACTCAATACTGGTGCCCTACTGCCTGAGCCACACCTTCACGTCTGGCTTTTTGCTGGCTAATTGGAGATATGAGTCTCACAGATAATCCTGCCCAGGTGGTTTTCAATAACAATTCTCAGATCTCAGCCTCGTGATTAGGATTACAGGCATGAGCCACTACACTTAGCTTTTTGTTTTGCTCCTTTTATATGAAATATTCAGTAGGCAAATCCAGAGATAAGGCTAATTGGTGGTTGCTAAAGAATGGTGGTAGAAGAAAATAGAGAGTGATAATCTAATAGCTTTATAAAACTGATTTATAAAAAAAATTGAAAGTATAGAGGTTTGTTCTGTATCATGACTATATGAAATGCTAGTTAATTACATACTATAAAATGGATGTTATGAGCTGGAAAGGTGGCTCAGTGGTAGAGTGCTTGCTTTGCATGCATAAGGCCCTGGATTCAATTCCTCAGCACCACATAAGCAGAAAAAACCGAGAGCGGTGCTGTGGCTCAAGTGGTAGAGCGCTGCCCAGAGTTCAAGCCCCATGACCAACCAAAAAAAAAAAGGATGTTATGCAAATTTCACTTCAATAAAATAATAGGAAAAAAACTTTAAAGCCTTTATCAAATACTAATGACGTGAAATTCTGGCCTATAACATATACTAGGCCCCAAGATAATGTCAAAATAGAGTTGATCCAACCAGGCACCAGTGGCTCACACCTGAAATCCTAGCTACTCAGAAGTGTGAGATCTGCATAAGGTTTAGAGCCAGCATTGGCGGACAAATAAAAGACTATCTCCAGTTAACTAGCAAAAAGCTAAAATTGGAAATATGAAGCAAGTGGTAGAACACCATTCATTATCAAAAAAGTTGGGTTTAAGAGTTTAAGCCCTGGTACCTCAACACACACACACACACACACACACACACACACACACACACGGAGCTGTTCTCTATTTTAATAATATTTTATATGATAATTCAGATTATATATGTGTATGAGTATGTGTGTGCACACTTATTTATTAGAAATACATGCCCAGGTCTAATAGGTTTTCTGGCAAAGATATTATACTCTTTTCTACTTTTAATCTCAACTCTAAAACTTTGTTACTTTTACCTTTTTACTTCATCTACCTTTTTTCTACTCAAACTACTTAGTATTTCCCAACCCTGTTAAGAATCACTACTATTATGCCATGAAAATATTATTTGAATGTTTAACTTCCAGCTCATATTTTAAGATAAAGGTACAAAATAAAATAAAATAGCTTGCAAGGACAAAAATCTATACCACACAAGACTGTTAATTCAAAGAACTGACCAATTATTCAAATACAGGTCTTGGGACATAAATCAGTATTTCAGTAGTATAAGTATAGGAGTACATTTTCATTTGCTGTAAATTACGCAATTAGTATAATTCCAAATTATCTTCTTTACAACAAAATGTCTGATTCTCAACTGCTGGGTTTTACCTTTGTTTTTGTTTGCATCAGTGTAAGAAAATCCTGGTGCTTGTCCTGTTTTGCGGCCAAAGAGGCCCCAGAGATTTGGACCCGTCTTGTGCTTTCCACCTTTTTCCACAGTGTGGCACTGAGCACACTTCTGAATAAAGATCTTCTTGCCTGTTTCAAAGTCTCCCATTTTATCAGTGAAGCCTTTAACCACAGACTGAAGAAAGTATCAGATTTGAAAAGCTGGGGGCGGAAAAAGAATTCCATCAGTATGACTGCAGCAAATTGTGATGAAACTACATAAAAAATTCAATGTCTGAGTCCTCAAAAACAGAGACACATTATGATATCCAATTTTATAAAAGACTAAATCATCTCATTTATCAGGCTTATTTTAAGTTTCTAGTCATAATTACTTCATAAATTATTGACATAAAACTGGTTTTACTTTAGCTTCCAATTATAACAATTTATGAGTCAATCATGTCCTTCTCTTTTCCAATCCCAAAATTTCATATAAAAAATAATGTGAAGTAGATAGGTGTAATTTTTCATCCCATTAGTTAAAAGTAAGAATGGAACACATATGAAGGGTACTTAAAATGATGTTTATTATGAGTATTTAATAATAGGGAGAAGTGTAAAATTAAAAAGCATACAGAAAAGAAAAAGATCACAGCAAACTATAAGTAAAATGATTTTTAATTTACTTTGCACACTTAGCAATAAAGCAGTCTACCAATTTAGATCAAGCATTATTTGAAAGCAACCAGAAATAACATCACTGTCTTCAGTCAGTATTAATATATACTGAATACTAACAGTGAAAACACATGATTTTTAAGTGGGGGGAAGATCTTATTGTATGGTGATAAATATATACAAGTGTTTTTAACAAACTTACTTTGATGAAGACGGCTAAATATTCCATTGGACACCTAACAGATTTTATGCCATTTAAAATAACATAAAAAGTAAAACAATTTCACCCTATCAAAATTAACCTTTGATATAGTAATGAATTCAGTGGCTGGGTTTTGTTTTCCTGCTCTTGTGTTCTGTGGAGAATTAATATAGTAGAGTTGGTGTTTGAAAACAACAAATCGCTATACCAGAAAGCATCGCAGTACAATCTTAAATCTAGATTTATCCAAACAACCCTATTGAAAAATAGAAAAATGTTTATATTAACCTGCCAAATGGTGGTGTTTTTATACACAGTAGCCACAACATTATCTTACTAATTTCTTTAAATCTATGTGGAAGTCTGTAATATCAATAATCCACATAAAAGATTATATTATTTTTAGAGAACAGTATCCAAAAATTAGAAATTTAGTAATCAAGGTTTTAGGTTTAACAGAAACAGGATAAGAAAACTTATTTAGTCCACAAGAATCTTATTTTAAAATTCCAAACATCATACAAAGTATTGCATTCAATTTCCCCTATGTGTATCAGGTTCAAAATTCAACGGCTTTGAAAAGAAGCCAAAAGGGAAAAAGTTCAGCCATAAAAGCAAATTTATGTCCTTTAAGTGAAGTATATCTGGTATAACCATAAAGTTTATATTATTAAAAACCAAAATATTTATAAGTACTAATTAGAGAGTAATTATTTCTGATTTTCACATAAGGCAGAAATACTACACTGATCATTTATACTAATTACATGCTATTAGTAATTCAGAAAATTTTACCCATGGGGTATAGATTTCATATGAAAATCACTTATAAAAATTTCTATTATCTCTGTTCAAATTACTAGCATTAATCACAATTACAACTTTTATTGCTGCCATCTTTAATCACAGAAGATTGTTGCTGGTGAAAAGATCTCTGATCATTTTCCAAGTAAAATAAAATCAATAGCAATAGCAGGATAAGAAGAGGCAAGATATAAATAACTCTGTCCTATAAATATTTGACACTCTAACAGTGTATGGTTAAGATAACTCACATAAGGTGTGACTAACCGTTCACCCAAGATATAAGTCCAATTCCCAATAGACAATAAGAGTGGCAAACATTTGTGTTTGCTGTGTACCAGGTATATTCTAAGCCTTTTATCTATCATTAACTTATTTAAAACATCTCTGGGAGATCATTACTATCCAGCTCCACATATAAAGAAGATGAGGTGTGCAGAGATTAGGCAACTTGTCTCAAATTGGTAAGCAGTGCAGAGATACTGTGAAGGTTACAGATCAAGCAGTGTCTGACTATTCCGCATTGTCAGAACAAAGTACCAGTTAGGGCTTTTAACATCTGCAATCCAAGTGATGAGAGATGGAGGAAAAGCTCAACAGACTGTTTTAAGGATGAAATGGGATTCGCCATGTTGTAGCGGAGAGGGGTCCCGAGCATATCTGTGAAGGAAAGGAGCCTGACTAGATCGCCCCACTTCACTACGGACGCCCCCAAAGGTATCAAAGGCCTTTTCCTCCCCTCCGTGGCTGCCCTGCGGGAGCAGGGATCCAGCTTTCCAAACGCCCGACCTGGCTCCTGCAGGTAACGGTCTCCATGTTGGGGACAGCGTCCACCCACGGAGGGAGGACAGCGCTCCCGGATCCCCCCCACCCCGCCCCGGACCCGGCCATCAGGGAGGGGCCGGCAATGGGGCCTGCATCAAATAATCAATTTTAAAATCTAAAAACTGTGAAACGTCTTCTGCTGTACGTAGGGACAATGTGGCCCCACTAGACGGGGGCTGGGCCGGGAGACTGAGGCCGGAGCAGGGAGGGGGGTCCGGGCCCTCCCGCCATCTGGACGGTTGGATGCTGCTTCCTGGGTAGGCCCGGGGCCCCCCTACAGCCGCCCTCAAGCCTGCCGGGATGGCATGGATGGCCAGCCCTCTCTCTTCCGGCCGGTCACACGTACCACAGGCCCAGCAACACTGCCCTCTGCCTCCCTCCGGCCTCTGTGCAGTGGGAGACGGACCACAACCTCCAAGCGAGCCGTCTGTCGGTCAGCCCTGACGGCCTGGCCAGGCATGTGTTTCTGGCCCAGGCCCCCACCGGCGCTGCTGATTGGTCCTCAAGTCCCATGAGATCCCGACTCTCGCAGAGGCTTAAAGCCTCTGCTGTACAGTAACCTCTGATTGAGATTGAATGCAACCAAGTCGATTAACTGTTCCCAGCCTTACCTTTTTATGTTTGTTTGTTCAAACAGGGCTTAGCCAAAGAATTAAATTGTTTATGTATCTTCACCGTGTGTACAAGGCCTTGCTTGAAGTTGTAACTCCATGTTCTGTGAATGGTCCAATGGTTTTATTTAGTGCCTGTAACCAACCATGTCAATAAAATAGAACAGATCTTACTACAGACAAGGACCAGTGCCAAGCAACTTCGAAATACAAACAACAAACCCGGCAGCCCTAGTTTTCCATTAATTATTGTCTCTGCCTGGGACATGATTGTAATTCCTCACAGGCCCATCGGCTGAAAACTTGGTCCCCAGCTAGTGACACTGTTTTTGGATGATTGTGGAAACTAGGAGGTGCAGCATTGCTGGAATAAGCAGATTACTGGGGATGTGCCTTTGAATCTGCTCCCTTCTCTGCTTCCTGTCTGCCATGATGAACAGCCTGTGCCACACACTCCTGCCATCATTGTGTCCTACCTCACTACTGGCCCAGAATCAGTGGAATGAAGTTTGGCCTGGGACCTCTGAATCAGTGAGCTAAAATCAATTTTTCCTCTCTCTCTCTCTCTCACACACACACATATACAAAAATCAAATTAAAAATGGAAGGAGAAACTGGGTTCCAGTAGCTCATACCTGTAATCCTAGCTACTCAGGAGACTGAGATCTGAGGAGTCCCTGTGAGACTCTTCTCTCAATTAATTACTCAAAAACCAGAAGTGGAGCTTAAAGGAGTAGAGCGCTAGCCTGGAGTGAAAAAAATCAGGGACAGCACGCAGGCCCTCAATTCAAGCCCCACAACCAACAAATAAAATAAAGTTAAAAAAAATTTTAAATGGGAGGAGAAAGGGGAAATAAATGCAGTCATGATACCCAGTAGAAACTATGTGGGGTAAAAACTATGTAATTTGTGACCAGGACTAGGAGGGGGAAGTGGGAGAAAACAAAGGAAGAAATGGAAGGGGTGGCATTGTCCAAAAAGAAATGTACTCATTACCTGACATACAAAATGGTCCTAAAGTTGTAATTTAAAAAGTCAAATTAAATAAGATAACTCTTTCCTTATTGAGTCATGAAATGCTCTAAAATTGATAGTGGTGGGTTGAAGGGTATGGCTCAAGTAGTAGCAATGACTACCCAGCAAGCATGGCTCTAAATTCTATCTCCAGTACCACCAAAAATAAAATTGATTGTGATGGTGTTTGTGTCAGCTGGAGTACTTCCTAGGTGACCTACATAGATATCTAACTCAGCATAATCTTGTTTCTCTTCAAGAACATGTCTGTCCTCCAGAAGTTTCTCTTTGAGGAAGCTGAAACTGGTTGGATCTAAGATGGCTGCCAGAGTAAATATCAGACAGCCTCTAACTTCATTATATTCCTTTCTGAATGTGAAGTGACACATCCTCCAGTGCCACGATAATTGGCATGTCATTGCTGGAAATAACCATAAAAGTAGCAAAAAGATGCAATGGCAGAAATCCTGAAAAATTTCCAACTATTTCTAGAAAAACATCAATATTTCTTTTTATAAATCTCCACCTCATTTAGTTTGTTCTGTATCTATAACTTGCCAAGTCTCAAGGTGAAGAAGTTGATCTACAAGTTTATCTCCCACATCTGTTTTTTGGCAACAATAAGTCTCTTTCACTGCTCAATTGCTACTCAGTTTTGTTATTGGTTACACAATTTGGAGAAAGACAAAAGATCCAGTTTGAAGGCAAATATTGGTAATAATTATGAAACTGTGAATATACGAAAAACTCTGATAGCACACTTTGATGGGTGAATTTGAAGTATGATGCAGGAATTGTATCTCAATGAATCTATCTAAATTATATGAAGAAAATATGCTAATTTTATTTTAATTATAAATTATTTCACATGATTCAAAGGTGCATGTACTTTCCTAACATTCTCCAGTATTTTTCTTTAAGAAAAAAAGTACCACTCTAAAATCTCAGGATATGCACCTGTAGTTTTTTAAATTCATTTTTAATATATATTTTTATTGTAAAGATACTGTACAGAGGGGTTACAGTTACATG